TCAGCGAGCTCTTGCAAGTGTTGCAAACAGATTAACAAACCAGGATTGCACTCATGTTAAATAGCACTTATAACCACGCAAAACTGAGGCTGCCAGGAGGCGATGAGCTCTCCGGCACTGGCCCGCTCGCGCCGCTCTCGCACTCGCCTGCTACCTGCTTTCCCTTATGAAGTGGGAGCGTGAGTAGCATAAATGTAAATTACCTGGAATCAATAAAAATGGTAATGCTATTTATCATAAAAGAATACCGAATTGCCCATCTGCTGCTGCTCGGCCGCAGCGCGGCTCGGCGTGAGTGGCAAGTGCATTCAGGAGCCAAGCGTCACCAGCTAACGGTTTTTAAAAACAGATGGCGGTACCTGCCTTTCCCGAGGCAGGGCATCCGTAAATCCCGCCCGTGCTGGGTTTCGGGACTCCCACCACCAGCCCCCAGCCTCCTGGTACGGCTGCTGGGCGCGCAGCCGCCCGCACGGCTCAGTACCTCTCGCCGCGGTCCTCCGCTGACATAGGCAGGATACATCCCTTAGACCTAGTTTAAATGTGTTATTTTTTTTTTCCCCCTCTTTTCATCCAACACAGCATGAGAGGTCTGTTTCCTTTTCAGCTACTATCTCAGGGATGCTTCATTTTCTTGCTAGCCCTTCTTCCCCAGCAGCTTTCTTTCCCCAGGGCGCCTCTAACCCCTGACTTGTTTACCAGCCATGAAACTCTGCTGCAGCCTCGGTAAAGAAGGGACGCGGGACAACACGACTTCTGCAGATTTTGGTTTATGCCCCCGGAGGCTCAGGGAGTGAGGACGTTGCAGCACCTTCCTGCTGCAGGAGAATCCTTCGGGAGCGAGCCCAGACCGGCTGGGTTTAGCCCTCCTAAATGACACACTGACGTTTCCATATTCCCAGTGCAAACATCAGCCAGCAAGAGCACAGGCTCAGCTAGAAGTCCAAGATCTGCAAAAGTCCAAACATCAGCCAGCAAGAGCACAGGGTCATCTAGCAAGTCCAAGATCTGGAGAAGTCCACCTATCAGCCAGAAAGACCACCAGGTCATCTAGCAAGTCCCAGACGAAGCAGAGATTAAAGGATGAGGTGTGCTGCTTGGGCAATGAGTCAAATTTGAGCCCAACCAGCTGCTCCTGTGTGCTCCCAACCAGCTCGCCCCAATGAGTGGTGTCCTGGGCCACATGCTATCATACCGCTTGTCACAGCAGGAGAAAGGGGGAAAAAACACGAAATATACTATCTTGTAGACAATTAACTTATAGCTGCAATTAATCTGGTACCGTTATGTCCTGCTCGTCTGCGCAAGCCCTCGTTGCTTCCTCTCTAGGTCTGCTACAGGGGTCCTGGGGCTGGGGACCCTCCTGCGACACCTTTGCATGGTGACACCCGCCGGCCGGGCGGTTACTCAGCGGCGGGCACCAACACACGCGCCGCAAGGGCGCCACGTCTGCAGGCGCCCCGCCACGCGCGGCTGCCGAGAAGGACAAGTGCCTTAATAACGGTATTTCCAGCTACTATCCAAGCTTCATTTCTTCCATAGGCAACGCCGCGGTGGCAGGCGGGATACGCGCGGCCAGCCCACCGTCCACTGCGCTGGGACGGAAACTATAGCGTTGAATGTGCTCACGCAGTACGAAAGGTGAGTTAGGCGGCTAGCGCTTGCGCTTGCAGGAGAACACCAAGTTTGGGTCATTTAGAGAGGGAATTTCTGAGGGAAACGTTCGTTCCCGTAAGTTAGGTGGTGAGAGAGGGAAAGGCCAGGCTGGCGCTTCTGCGGCCAGGGCAGGGGGACCTGGGGGACGGACGAGGCCCCAAGACCGTCCACGTTCAACTCAGCTCACCTGCCTTGAGGTTCCTCATTTTTGCTGTTCGGAAGAACAATCAAGGGACTGGCCTTTTTACACCCGCTGACCGGGCAATCAGAAGCCCTTAAGCAGCTTGACTACCGACTCCTTTACTAAAGTAATAAAAGTGGACGGGATAAAAGACAAACACACCGGAACACTTAAACCGAACAATTTTTTAAAGTTTAATATAGCTTTAGATAAAACTGAGCTTGCAGTATTAATGAATACAAGAGTTCGTTATTTTGTATAAGTCAAATAAACTTGTACATTTATACAGTTATAGATTGCATGCCAGAAAATGCATTTAGTTATTCTAATTTGAGTATGTACAATTTACAATATAATTCAAGCATAACTTGAGCAGTAGAGAACACAGACCGGCTGTGCAATCAGACAACTACTTTTTCTTAGCGTAAGCATTAGGGCCGGGTGAAAATGTTAACTAGGGGGGAAAAAAAAGTGGCCACACTAATAAAAATGAAATATTAATGAGAAATAACTTCCTAAAATGAATTATTAAAGAAAGTTATCATCCATGTTTGTACTTTCACGCTTATTAATGAAAGACACATATATTTTAACCTTAACATACATAAAACACTGCAATACAAGCCACAAGCCTCAGAGATTGTGCGTCCAGCGAGGACAGGTGAATACTTCAATAAAAAAACAAATCAAAATTTTGAATGAATCATAACTGAACATTTCCTATGGAACGGATTTAATAAAAACAAGAACGCTTTCCCAGCGCTTCGCATACTTGCAGAGTATTTTTACACGCTCAGGCTACTGAGTAACGTGCACTCACGCAGACTGCCAGTGTACTGTACAGGTACAAACTTCTCCCCATCGCCTATTTTTAAAGCACACTTAATGCTTGTCCTGCTTACTTCAATCGCGTGCACAGATTTAGCCCAAAGTTTCCCAGAGAGAAATGCCACTGCGCGTCTCTCGGAGGCAGGATGTCGCTGGCGAAGGCACCCGCAGGCGATGCTGCGGAGGGGCTGGGCTGCTGGGACCACCTACAGCCCGCCCTTCCCCTTGCTTTCCAACTGGACGCATTTGGTTAAGCCTGCTGGTAGGACTCTTCCTTTGCACATGCCATTCACCGAGTGTTTATCCATCAGGCTGATTAACTTTCCTGGCTTTCCGGTTTGGGGGCTAGAGGCGGTATTTTTGTTGTAAACACCTCGCAAGTGAACCTGGCTGTTTTTGTTGTCAGTTAAGGACTAACAGGAGAATTACAGGTCGTACCAAAAAAAAAAAAAAAAAGCTGTATTTTACAAGACAACCTGAGCAAGTGTTAGCAAATGGGGAAAAAGTTCGGATTTTTATCTTGCAACATCAGAAACTGCTCATCACGCACCTAGAGCACAGTACCAGTATGCAGGGAATTACACACATGGTTCCCCTTAACAATAACGTGCAAAGGATTTAAGTTTAGCCAAAAGCTGTAAAAAGCATGCAGTGCCACTCAAATTATTACAAACCATGGAGAAACTTTGGAAGTGAGTATAAAGTCCGTAAGCGTACAACTGACATCGTATACTGCAACTTCCAGGAACAGCACTGAGCTACAGCTGCCCTGGTGGCAGCTCTTCCGGCACCTGTCTTGGGTCTTGTTCCATGCAACCGCTTATCACAAAGAGAAACCACTTTTTTTTTTTCCCCCAACGATCGATAGATCTGTAGTTATTCGTTATTTAGCAAGCGTGAACGTTCGCTCATGTACGATGGCCCAGAGCCCTTGGAGGCAGAGCTGCCGGTACAGGACCGCAGCGAGTTGCGCGTGCCCATCCTGACCACCGTCGGTCCTTCTCCTAAGACCGCTATGCTGCAGTCTCAGGTATTTTAAAAATAGCAATGCTGTCACACAACGCCCTTTTTTATGGCTGCTGTTGGCGGTGGCTTATGGGACGAGCTCTGCGCTTGGACGGTGCTGCCTACCAGCCCGCTCCGAAGCGAGGAAGAGGAGCCCGGGGGGAACAGGGGCTCCTGGTGGAGCCCCGACCAAGCCCTGTCCACGTGTGTCCCGTGGTTTTTTTTTGTAACACAAGGTGGGGAAGAAAAACCAGCACAACCACGGCTGGGTATCGAACCCAACGTTTACACAAAGTATTACTCATTTTGAAACCCACAGGGTCAACGTCAGTTAAGAACATTTTTAGACATGTTTCCAACATAGAGAAAGCAGTAAGAGAGCGATGCCCCGACCAGCACAAGAGGCTGCCGGCGGGGCTGGGCATGCTTTAACCGTTTTGGGAGTTTCAGTAACTTTTAACCGCTTCGGATTGCGAGAGCCTGGCTCGGACAACCTGCGGTGTAAACCTATACGCACAGCGGGGCCGACAAAAGTAAGAGCGAGGGAAACCCTGGCGCAAATCCTGGCGCTGCTGAGATTCACGGGAATTTGGACTCTGCCTGCGGGGTGTACTTCATCCAGAATAAATGCCCGCTTGATTTCCCAAAGAAATTCCACTATTTTCACGTTACGCTATTCTATTCGCATCAGAAATCAAGCACGTGCCGTTGCTTTAAAATGGCTTTCTAACATCTGTAACATATGTATTAACGCTCATGAAAGAAATTTATTTTTAAGTTTTTACTAATTGTATCTAAAATGTAAATTTTATTAACCTATTTATTGTTTTGCCTAGCCTTAATAATTCGTTTTTAAGCAGCGCCTTATGAAATACATTTCAATTTTTTCCAGTAACCTAGAGGCAGGAAAAGAAAAACCAAGAAAATATTAAAGCAAAAGAGAAGCTAGCGGTTAATTTAAGGCTAGCAGATTTGGTGTTAGGAATTAACTAATACGTATAAGCCTTCTTTTAAGAAAAAAACATGCACAATAACTACTTTGTTGAACAAAACATCACAATCTACAGCAGAAAAAAGTATTTTTCAAATCAAATTATAACTTACCTGAAAGTTACCCACTCGCATGTTTTACCTACTACTTACTCTTAAGAAATACAGGGGCAAGGAACACCCCTTTACATATTTTTCAGAATATACAGTATAAATACAGTAGGAATCATGCCATAAAACTATATGCAAAAATTGCACACTATTATTGCATGCGTGTTGTGCTACTACATGCCAACGAACATCAGCGCTCCGATTAGCCCGAGGAGCAGGACGTCCTGTCTTCAGTCGCAGCAGTATACTTACATATACGTACAGTCATCGTTAGCTGCGGGATGCTCCTCCCCCTTTGCATGTAGTGCCAAGGAAACACATAATTTAGCATATATACTCTTTGTAGAGGGCCTGCTTTCCTGCCCCCATTACATCTGTTAGTAGTTCAAGCTTTAAATAATACCTAAAAGTCTAGTGCAGTTATGTAAATCGGTCAGAATTCATTTTTCTCAGTTTGGGTGGAAGGTTTCCTTCCATCCTGCCGCCGCCTCCTCCTGACAACTTCTGAAGCTTGGGTGGCAAATCAGCCACCGACTGACTCATGGGATCTGAGAGCATCTTTGTCGTTTTAGAAACCAGTTTCTCTTCTGAATTACCAGGGACTGAGCTTATTCGCTGGAGTTTCATGGGTAAATCACCCATGCTGTAGGCCTTCTCAGAGGTCGTTGAACTCATCCTTAAGAGTTTTTTGGGGAAGTCTTCCCGTCCAGTTATTTTCTGCAGTTTTGAAGGCAGTTTTGTACCGACCTCGTCTAGCCCATCCAGGCACTCCACAGAATTATTCCTCTCTTTGCTGTTGCTCACCGCAGGGGCTATCAACGGCGAGGACATCAGCAGCATTTCTTCTTGCTCCTTCACGCTGTAAGGTGGGGTAGGGACTTCAAACGTTGCGTGGAACTGGGAATAATCAACTTTAAAGAATCCTTCTTCCAAGGAAATAACCGGGAAGAAACGATGACCCCAAAGAACTTCGTCCTCCGTATACGACGTTCTGGCTTGGCACGTCATCCCTGCGACAAACACGAAAGGGAAACTGCGATCAGCGAGGGAGAAGCTTGGGAGGCACAGAAAGAAAGCTTGGGGCGTTTTGAACATTTCCAAGAAACGTATTTTATGTTTTTAAACGTATAAAAGAAAAGACATTGACATGTCTACCGTTTACATACGGTAGCTATTAAATTGTCATCTTCAATGAGAAAGGAGCCAAAAATAGAGGAAGGAGCATAACTGTTTGAATAATTCATGTCTGTTAACACGGACGGTTTTGAAGGTGCTGCTGACAAAGAGAAAATACAGGGTTACACTGATAATCCTGGCATTAAATTAATAAGAGCTGCTAATTATAAATAATGCAAAGTTGGGCTTGTCAGAATTGTAAAGTATTACTAAGTTATCCCACATACTCCTCACATTCATGAACGTATATACAAATATATATATATATATATATATATATAAATACACACAGACACCACGCTTTATGTACTATATGCACAAACCAAACCCGTATAAAGCATTTCAGTACATCAGAGAGCAGTTAAGTACTAAGTACGTACTGTGAAATGCACTGAGTTCTCTTGAAGTGCTTTACTAGCAACCTGTTCACAGATCTGTGACTTCCAGGCTGACTTCCCACTTTCAAACAATTAACATTTAATTCACCCTACTGGGTAAAGCCATCCGCCTTTTAGTCGGCAACAATCCCTTCAAGTCCGGAGCAAAACTTCTGAAAGCGCGAGAAAACCGGCGTCCAGCCCACAGCCGGGCGGGGGGACCAACAGGCATCTGGTGACGTACAGCCAGGACAAGAACATCTCCCCGCGCTTCATGTTGCTACTAAAGGATCAGAGTTGCCGTTTTGGCAAGCTCTGCGCCCCGCGCCCTGACCGCGGGTTTCGGCTGCGTTTTGGGGCGAAACGCAGTGTTTTGCGCTTGGCGGGGAAGCTTCCTCGGGTCAGGTGTTGCGATTTTGGTTTACGAAGCAAAGCGGAAGCAACTGCAAAGCAAGGTTTCGTATTTTTTTTTTCCCCTAAGAAGTTATTCATCAGCAGAATATGAGGCCGACAGAGCCTTCAATGCCTTCATCGTGTTAGCAAAACCTGTTAAAATTTTACCAAGTTGTCCACATTATTAATACTCCTGTGCAGCAGAAATTTAAATTCTCGTGTGGAAGCAAACATACTGCGCGCTGTGCATATAATCAAATTCCCGTCCATTTGTCAAAGGCGACGGTTTAGATGCATTTTGCTCCTCGCTCTGCCTCCATCACGAGGCGCTCTCGAGCGAGCTCTGTCGACTGCACGTGCTTCGAACGCACGTCAGCAAAGCTCAGGCTGAACACTGATTGCAGTAGCGCACCTGAAAAACAGCTACGCTGGCGCCTGTAGTTCCAGGAGGAAAAACAAACCAAATGTCCAACAAGAACCTCTCGATTATTGCAAAAACACGGCCTGCACAAACACTGTTTCCTGTAGCAAAGGGAAGACGTGGTCACGCAGAAGCGCTCTTCTGAAGGTGCCTGCTCTCGGGGCTACGCTTCGAAGGTCTCGGGGATGAGCGCGGTTTCTGGAGAACCACGCGGTTTCTGGAGAACTACAGGAAAGGGCCCTATCCCACCCTGGACCTGTCCCGCCGAAACCTTCCCGGACGCGGCTCCTCCGGCGTCACCGGGAGCCGAGAAGTCCCATGTCCACAGCAAACAGAAGCTTCCTTGGTCAGTACTGCGGTGACCACTTTAGTCTTATGTATTAGTCTCGTATTTGAAGAGTCTTATCCAAAGAGCCGTGATTTAAGGCCGGACCGCCAGTGCCCCGGTGCATGGGAGTCGGACCGGACGAGGCGATTCGACGTGGGGCTCCAGAGGTCGGGGGCAGACAGCGGACAGAAAAAAATCGCTGAATAAGCCCTTTGGCTAATTCCACCTTGCAACAAAGCCTCAAATTATTTCTAAACGTTCCTGAAGCGCCCGGGAGGGAGGTTTGCAGAAGTCGTGCCACCCCGCCTCGAGGAAAGAGCGCCCCGAGGAACAGCACGGTATCCTGACGCTACCGCTCACCTACCACGGATTTGGGAAGAAAGCAGATGTCTGCATCGCGTGATAAGCCAGAAAATGGTTGCTCAAAATCTGAGCTCCAAAATGATTCAAGAGCGCCATCATTAAAAAAAAATATACAGCGAAGGATGCTCTCAAGCCTTTCAGCTTGCACTGCAAGGTTCGTTTTTTTAATATAGCTTAAAATGACAAACTGTACTATGCAAAACTGAGAAACACGCAGCCCAGCTTAAGGGTTTTTAAGCTGCTACAAAGTGCGGTAAACTCTAAGAGCTCCCATCTGCTTTGATAAAATGCCTATTTTTCATATTAACATCTTTCCATCGTAATTTCAGGGCATAATTTTAATTAAACTGATGATACATCAGTTTGAATTTTAAAAGTCTTCCCACCGAGCTGTGGTTGCCAGGCTCCGCTGCCGTCTGACGGAAAGGCCTGATCTCAGCGCACCCGTGCGTTTGCAGCCTGGGTCTCTCTTTAGTAGGAGGGGAACGGGCAACGCACCCGTTTTTGCAATGCACCCGGGCAACGCTCCCCGTTTTCACGCAAGCACCGCCATGCGTCGGCGCCACAGCATGCGCGTGCACCGAAGCCACAAGGCAGGAACGACGAGGAGGGCGCCGTTACTGGTAAGGAGGAGGCAGAAACAGGGCAGGTTCTGATAACTCTGAAGCCTACTGATTCCCCGCCGGCCGGAGGGCCCCTCCGCCCCTCAGAGCGCAGAACGCAACGCTTAACCACCGTTTACTGCTCAAACCTGCACGCGGCTCGAGCGAAACAAGGCTGGAGATTAAACGAGTTAACCACGCAGGCAGAAAGGAGCAAGGAGTCCGGGGGGGGAATCGAGGAACAAAAAGCGCACCCGCTTCTGCAACAGCCAGACACCCATCCTATGCTAAACATCTTAATTTCTCATCACGCTGAACAGCAAACCCAGGCTTCGCTACTCAATTTAGACCCTCTGTTTATGCGCCGGTGCTATAAATCCCTCCCCGGTTTATTCAGACTGCGCTGCTCTCCCAGGAGCTATCTCGACACTTAAAAAAAGAGTAGTGACAGCCAAGGGTTTTTTTTTGGTTTTTTTGTTTTTTATCAGCCAGTCCTGTTCTCGGGGCAATTTGTAAATCACGCGTAGATAGGCAGTTTTCGGACGCACCGCAGACAGACAGCTAGCCTGGATGCTCAGCAGGACGGCAGCGAGCTATGATTAGCGCGTATTATCGCGCTGCATTAAAAGCCGCGTGTTAAGCAAAGTGCCGGGGCTCATAGCGGGGGCAGCGCAGGAGCGGGCCCCGCCCGGGGGGCGGGTTATACACCAGTAAACTACAGGGAAGGGGGGGAAAAAACAAAAACAAAAAACCAAAAAAAAAAAAAAAGGGGGGGAAAAAAGAGCACTGCAGCATTTGGAGCGGCCGCTCTGCGTTCAGCGCTCGCAATTTTGCAGTGGTATTTTCCATATTTTTATAAAAAAACGGGGCGAGATCCTCAGCTGCCCCCAAAGCACTGCTTAACGCACATGTAATGCAGCGACAGCGATTTATGCTGAGAAACCAGCCTGGTATTTTTCATGCCTTCCCCCCACCCCAAGAAAAACATATTATTTGGGAAGAGACTGATTTGTTCCCTGCTTTCGAGTGAGTCAGGGTTGCTTTCAGCCCCGGCAGCGCCTTCCTTGGAGCAGATTTCTCCGCAGAGCCATCTGCCGCGTTCCTGCGTCCAACAAGAACCTCTCGATTATTGCAAAAACACGGCCTGCACAAACACTGTTTCCTGTAGCAAAGGGAAGACGTGGTCACGCAGAAGCGCTCTTCTGAAGGTGCCTCTCGGGGCTACGCTTCGAAGGTCTCGGGGATGAGCGCGGTTTCTGGAGAACCACGCGGTTTCTGGAGAACTACAGGAAAGGGCCCTATCCCACCCTGGACCTGTCCCGCCGAAACCTTCCCGGACGCGGCTCCTCCGGCGTCACCGGGAGCCGAGAAGTCCCATGTCCACAGCAAACAGAAGCTTCCTTGGTCAGTACTGCGGTGACCACTTTAGTCTTATGTATTAGTCTCGTATTTGAAGAGTCTTATCCAAAGAGCCGTGATTTAAGGCCGGACCGCCAGTGCCCCGGTGCATGGGAGTCGGACCGGACGAGGCGATTCGACGTGGGGCTCCAGAGGTCGGGGGCAGACAGCGGACAGAAAAAAATCGCTGAATAAGCCCTTTGGCTAATTCCACCTTGCAACAAAGCCTCAAATTATTTCTAAACGTTCCTGAAGCGCCCGGGAGGGAGGTTTGCAGAAGTCGTGCCACCCCGCCTCGAGGAAAGAGCGCCCCGAGGAACAGCACGGTATCCTGACGCTACCGCTCACCTACCACGGATTTGGGAAGAAAGCAGATGTCTGCATCGCGTGATAAGCCAGAAAATGGTTGCTCAAAATCTGAGCTCCAAAATGATTCAAGAGCGCCATCATTAAAAAAAAATATACAGCGAAGGATGCTCTCAAGCCTTTCAGCTTGCACTGCAAGGTTCGTTTTTTTAATATAGCTTAAAATGACAAACTGTACTATGCAAAACTGAGAAACACGCAGCCCAGCTTAAGGGTTTTTAAGCTGCTACAAAGTGCGGTAAACTCTAAGAGCTCCCATCTGCTTTGATAAAATGCCTATTTTTCATATTAACATCTTTCCATCGTAATTTCAGGGCATAATTTTAATTAAACTGATGATACATCAGTTTGAATTTTAAAAGTCTTCCCACCGAGCTGTGGTTGCCAGGCTCCGCTGCCGTCTGACGGAAAGGCCTGATCTCAGCGCACCCGTGCGTTTGCAGCCTGGGTCTCTCTTTAGTAGGAGGGGAACGGGCAACGCACCCGTTTTTGCAATGCACCCGGGCAACGCTCCCCGTTTTCACGCAAGCACCGCCATGCGTCGGCGCCACAGCATGTGCGTGCACCGAAGCCACAAGGCAGGAAC